TCACTTTTTGGTGCAATTTCTTCCGGTGGTGTATTGGGTACTAACTTTGCATTTGTATTGTATCTGAATTGTATCTGTATCTGTAGTGTATTCTGTATTGTAGCTAGATTGTAGGTACCTGTATTGTATTTCCGTTGTATTGTACTGTATAACGTTCTATCCCTCATTAACAATTCCTAGCCCTCTCCTTTCCTAGCGAGATCTGCTCCAGACCTTCCCGTGGTTCTTGCTGAGCATCAACTATCGAGGACAGAAAAGTTTCACAAAAATCATGAAAATCGCTCGTTGGTGGCCAACGTGGAGCAAAAGAGACTTTTGTAACTCAACTAACTTTGTTAACTCTATATTCTTAAGGAAAAAAAAATATATTACATTTAATTTATCATTTATAAGGACAAATAGTCATTTGACACGCCAATGCTCATTTTTAGATTAAATGCTCACAAAACGCGTAAATGTTCAATTTGTGTCCGGGGAGATACAATGTTTGCAAGTAGATACACAGTACATCGGGTTGATGCTCAGGTATATAAGAGTAATAATGAAGTAGGTACTTCGTACTTCGAATATGAGTATCTACTCAGTTTTATTCATACCGTCCAATGTCTCGCTTCAATGTTTGATTATGATGTTGATTGTGAGCACAACGCTGATCAACTTCCGTATCCGAATTACTACTTGAAATAAATCTTCGCGATTTGCACCTTAGGTAGCTCGTCGCACATTTGATTGACTTCGTGGACTTATGTCAGCTTGTCGTCTTCTCGGCATTGTAATGAACTTCATAAAACGACACAGAATTATTTTCACAGTCAATCAAATCTGTAAATTTTGTCTTGAGAATTTTAAAATATTGAAAACTTCAAATTAAATCCTCGGATAAAGGTAAAGTTTGAAGTTTTGTCGAAACCAACAAAGTGAACATAGGTAAATAGAATGACAGATCAAAATTAATAAGACACTTTCGCAATGTGTAACTAAATTCACTTTAACTAAGACTTTTCTTAAAATAAACGACGTTTTTTTACGAAAAAACAAAGAACGATTTGAAATGCAATAATACTTTTTTTCCAATCGCACGGAAGAAATAGTTTTGTATGACACGTCAGTTAGGCGACAGGTCCGTCAGGAACGCCAACTATTCAAATTCATTCGAAGTGGCGATTCCCATGCAAGATTTTTAAAATTTTTTTATCTTTTAGCCGTGTTATTTTTTATAAATTTTCTTACATATAAACCTTGTCCTGACGACAAGGAACACGTAAAAAAAAGAATCGTCCAATTCGGTGCAGTCGTTCTGAAGTTATGAGCGTACATACATTTCGGCGATTCATTTTTATTAATATAGATGCATTATTATTTTAGAACAAATTTCATTACCATAAAAAAGGTTATACTGACTCGATCTTAAAAGATAGACATATGCTGTCGCGGACTTTTCCTTAGAACATTTAGAGGGGAACAATTTCGTCATACATGATTTTTACGTAACTTTAACCGTTTAAGCAGCGTAAGCAACGGAAGGTGTCAAAGGAGGAATAATTTTCCCGTGTTTCCGAATTTTTCATTGCTACTTCGCTCCTAATGATCGTAGCGTGATGTTATTAGCCTATATGTAGATATGATACATATACTATCCAACACAAAAAGATTTTTTGAATTTGAACCAGTAGTTTCTGAGATTAGCGTGTTCAAATAAGCAAAAGCTTCAGCTTTATTATATAAGTATAGATTAGGCGAATTGTGATTGTATATTTGTCGTTTATTAATGCATTCACAGATTTTGCAGTTAGTTATACAGGCTGACTCAAAAAAAGTTAAAAAATCGAAAAAGCGGGAAACTTGGAAATGGAAAAAAATACTAAAAAGCAGAAGTAGTTTAAGATGGCGTACAGTCAACAGGGCGATAAAGTTGGTTAGATGTAGTGTAATACTGAATATAAAAGTACTGCATTCCCAAATTTTCGGGAAAACGAATTGGGTCGTCTTGAATATTAATTTATAACCAATAAAATAACGAAACAGTTTGCTCACGTATGCCGCGCGTTTTAGCAGAGGCGACTGAAAATCATTTATGTATATCTAAGCATTCTTAATTTAAGACAACAAGCGGTAACAGACTGTATACGAGAGTCAAACAGAGAAACCGCAAACAATACCGATGGTCGCTCAGACTTTTTTATTGCTTCGACTTCCGCTTAATACATAAAACATTGGATTTTATTTTAATTTTTGATGGTGTAACAAAACAAATGCACGTCTGTAAATGTAAATAAGCGTGCTGCGCCTATGTCTCAAACGAGTTTTTACTTTACAAAATTTTGTGTCTATCAAAATGGGTTGGTGCAACCTAACACTAATAATAACAGTATTGTATCTCCAAATTTTCGGGAAAATGGAATAAAGTAAATTGAGCCATTCATTAATTTATCCAAAGCTTTTGATAGGATAGATCATTGCATATTGTTAAAAAAGTTGATAGAATAGGAATATGTCATCGGCTATTAATGATTTTTAGAAATCTCCTGTTTGGTAGGGAATAATTTGTTGAAATTCACGGAGTCAAGCCAACACTCTTTCCTGTTAACAGCGGTGTTACTCAAGGCTCAAACCTAGGCTCGCTGTTGTTAACTGTTTTTTTCAGTGATGTACTAAATGTTATTAGTTGTAGAGTGTTTATATATGCCGATGATTTAAAAATAGCTAAAGTAATAAAAACGAACATAGATTGTTTAGTTTTACAAGATAATGCAGATAAATTAACGCTGTGGTGTGTACAGAATAAGTTAAGCCTTAATAAAAAAAATGTAGAAAAATTACGTTCTCCAGGAAAGACTAATTTTAATTTTTATTACAATATTAATGGGACTTTGCCAGAAAACTGTAAACAAATACGCGATTTAGGCATAATTGTAGACTCTGCATTGTCATTTGTTTGAAAAAATGAAAATTTAAATATTGAGAAATTGAAAAATTAAAAGTCGAAAAAGTCTTAAAACCAAGTAATGAAAACAGAAAATATTCTAAAACCGTGTAATCGAAAAATTGAGAAATTTTAAAATGCAATTATTATTACTTATTTAAAATGAAAACTAGAAAAAATGCAAATTAAAAATTGAGGAAACGAAAAATTAAAAAAATCTAAAAATTCTAAAACCGAAACATTGAAAACCGGAAAATTGCAAATCGAGAAAATAAAAAATCTAAAAAATGAAAAATTTTACACTGAAAAAAGGAACATTACAAACGCAAAACAGAAAAACCGAAAAATTGAAGAAGTGAGAAACTGAATAGTCGTGAAATTGCAAATCAAAAACTAGCAAAATGTAGAAATTGACGCGCCAACAAAATAATTTAAAACTAAAAAATTGCAAACCGAAAAATGTAAAAAATGAAACACTGAAAAAACAAAAACTCATAAAATCTGAACAATGAAAAATCGAAAAATTGTAAAAATGAAGAAAATAAAAAACGAAACGACAAATTTCAAACTGAAAATTTGTTGAAATGAAAAATTAAACAATCGAAAAATTTGAACCGAAAAACTGGAAAATTTCAACAACGAAAAGTTGAACAATTTAATGAAATATTGAATAAAAAAATCGTAATGACAAAATAATTGCGGTCTTGTTAGTAATTTCTTACATGGACAATCAGTAGCCGAAAATCATCGATTATTGATATTATTTGCATCGCTAGGTCAAACTATATTTAACATAATTGTCGCTAATGTTGGGAACTTTTCAAGCCACGTCGTGTTTAATAAAAATCAGACGTTTTTTTCGACCACAAGCACACAGTATCTTATTATTATTATCACAATTTCCTTAACAAATAAAACGAAAATTTTTCACGCAAAACATCAATTTGTCTTGGATTTTCCGTTAGTACTCGACGTTATTGCAGATGCAGATCCTTGTGTATACGTCGTCCAGTCATCGAACGTCACAAGTTTTATAGTCATTTCGGTTGACGATATATTGATTATGTCGGGTAATGAAGTCGAAATCGAACGACTGAAGAGTTGTCTGTGTCAAAAGTTTGAAGTCAAAAATTTGGGAGATCTTCAGCACTGTTTAGGTATTGGCCGAAGAATGTCCTTTATCAAGAACTCATCGGCGGACTGATGTATTTATCTATGGGAACTAGACCAGATATAACATATGCGGTAAGCTACCTCAGTCAATTTAGCAGTTATTTTAGAGAGTCTCATTGGAAGGCAACAAAAAGGATCTTACGTTATCTTAAAGAGACTACAGATTTGAATCTATATTTGAACCTCCGGTGATGTATACTGATGCTGACTGGAGAAGTTGTCTTGTTAACAGGAAGTCTTATACGAGATAAGTAATTGGGGGTACAGCAGTGAGCTGGGGATCAAGGAAAAAGCGGTCTGTAGCTCTTTCATCGACAAAGGCAATGATGATTTTGAAGAATGATAACATTGGCGCTGAAAACCCAAAGAACTTTCCAAGGCTAAGCATGAAAAGTGTATACAAGATCTTGGGATGAGGCGCGATGGAGTAAAGTGTTTGCTTAAGTAGTTGAGGTTTGCTGGGAAGTGTTGGTCATGTGTACATTTATTTCATCCCTCACATAGTTTTAGGTTGTCAACATAGTTCGCAATCTATCCAAGAGGCCTCGAGTTCGATCCCCGCAAACCCATTTTTTCCCTGATTTTATTATTCAAGTTTCATATACGAGTATTTTGGAATTTAATGTATTACTGTAACTGATAAAAAATTATATAAATCCATTTTGGGGTGTCTAAGAACAAGGGATAATTATAACTATATGAAACAATTTCATTATATACAGTAAGTAAACTGCTGAAGATCATTAACGATACATTACAATGCAATGGGCGTGGTGTTTTTCCAACTTTATATTCTTAGTTGTTTATAAAAGGGGCATTTGTATCGATTGTTAAATGACAACTACCTTAACGATTCTTGCGTTCAAATAGTCGTTAAGTACGATCGTTGAGCATTCTCTTAGTCATGAAACGAGAGGATGGAAGGTAAGTTTCTTGAATATACTCAATTTTAAAGTGAACTATTTTCAGTAACAAACTATATCAGAATATGTCGTTTTTTAACGGTGGACATTTTTGAATACAGAGCCATGAAATATTGCCTCCTGGCAATAAATTTGATTCTATCAGCTTTGCTTCTCCTCCAGGGATATTTCTTTTTAAAAAAATTCGAATTGAATTATTTCGTTCAGTACGAGCCGATTTACATTCTGTTATTTTATGTGCGTAACAAAATTCGAAACATGAATTAAACTAATTATTAATTGTAGATGGGGGTATCCATTTACAGCCAAGCTTACACCACTAACATAATCAAAACTTACGTACACCAATTCCAAGTGTGGAAAATCGAAGAAGCCACAAAAGCGATTAAAGGAAAAGTGAGGCAAACTTGGATTTACATTACGGCGTATATGTGCATGACCACGGCTCTAAGTCTCATGGGTACGATATCCTGCATGATACCAACTTCGAGAGACAAGGATCTTATGTTCGTTCTCAAAATAATAGAACTGTACTTTTCGCGTTGGGAAAATTTTATTGTGTGCTGTTTAAAACCTTTGTTTTTTGTGTTAGTGTACGTGGGCACCAGTGTACCTGGATTCGCGATTTTGTATTTCCACGGCCACCTCAACCTACAAAAATTTATGCTGAAACACTGCATACAAGAAATAAACGCCAAGTTCGAGCACGAAGAGTACATAAGATGGAACAACGCGGAGTACCACAAACAGATCGAAGATAAACTGATGTCTTGCGTGAAGTACCACATCCAGCTCACTGAGTAAGATAATTACAAATTTTGAAGGTAAAACCAACGAGTTTTTCAGAATCGCTTCAAGAGCCTTAGAACTCACGCAAGTGTACGTTTTGCCGTTTCAAATCATGGGTACCTGCGTAATGGCTAGTATTCTTCTAGTCTTTTTTGCGGTACTTCTTCAACTAACGTCAAATTTTTAATTAACATTGTAGTTTGAAGGTTCTTTGTCCGACCAGTATTTTCGCATGGTACTTATGATACTTACGACGTCTGCTATGTTGGTAGGGTTTGCAGCCGGTGGGCAAGGAATCGAAGATTGGGTACGTTGTAACATAGTCGTGGTACTTTACCAAACCCTAAATTACTTACAGTCAGAGGAAATCTACGAAACTCTGAGCCAAGTCGAGTGGTACCACTGGAACTCAAAAAACAAAAAAACTTACCTGTTTTTCCTGATGCACGCGACGCGAAAATTCAAGATCAAGTACTCTGAAAACATTTCGCTTAACTATCAGTTGGGGCTAAAGGTACGATTTGGGGTTGCTGGGGCGAAATAAACCTGTGATTTCAGGTCGTGAACGCCATTTTCTCCGCGATGTCGGTCATATATAGTTTACAGCAGAAGAAGTACTCGTAAGTAAAGTAGGTGCATCACAACGTAGTCGAGATAAATTTCTCTAGTATCGTTTTATTGTTAAAATGTTAGCTTTCCATTCAATAAAAAAATAACGATAATTTTAGTTTTATTTATAAATAATAATGTTAATAACACTCATAATAGTTATAGATTGCCCGCTTGTGGTCGAAAAACGCGTCTGCTTTTTCTTAAAAACTAGGCGAATTAGAGTAGTAACCTGCAATCCCGTCGGATGATTAAACAAACAATATGAAAAAATTGTGACTCTAGAACTGTCGTTTATCAATGCAGTCGCAGATTTTACAGTTACTTACACAGGGTCACTCAAAAAAATTAATGAATGAGGCAGTTTATTGTATTGATTAAAATCAAGAACGACTCCTCAATTTTCCCGAGAATTTGGGAATACAGTACCGTTATTATCGGTGTTACACCACATGTATACGAGATACATATTATAAATTTTGTGTGGAAAAACTCATGTACTTTAATGTTACACACATATCATTTATTTTAACTTACAAAAATATCATGAAAAAAGTAAAATTCGCAATATCAACCATGCGACCGATTTTTTGGTATCTCAATTTTTCGTTTTTTTAACTTGCGTTTTATCGATTTTTAAGTTTCTCAATTTTTAATGTTTCAGCTGATTTCCAATTCTTAGATTTTACAAAGTTTTCATTTTATACTGTTTCGTTTTTTCATTTTTACAATATTGTAATTTTTCCATTTTTTTGAGTCGAAAGAAAAAAAATCGAAAAAGTGGACAATCGAGAAACTTGAAAACCGAAAAAAATTATTAAAACGCAAAATTGGAACGAAGAAAAAACCAATCGAATCGAAAAACTGGTAAACCAAAAATTTAGAGTCGCTAAAATTTTTGAAAATAGTACGACCGAAGGATCGAAAAAATGACAGATTAAATTGTGATAAATTGAAAAATTAAGAATTGAAAAAGTCTTAAAACGAAGTATTGAAAAAAGAAAAAATTCTAAAACCGTGTAATTGAAAAATTGGGAAATTTTAAATTGTAATTGTTATTACATATTATTTAAAATGAAAACTAGAAAAACTGCAAATTAAAAATTGAGGAGACGAAAAATTAAAAAAACTAAAAATTTTTTGAAACATTGAAAACCGGAAAATTGAAGAAGTGACAAATTGAAAAATCGTGAAACTGCAAATCGAAAATTAACAAAATCTATGAATTGAAACATTCAGTTTGAAATTGAAGTTGGAAGATCGAAAAACTGAAAAATGTAAGAATGTAAACTCGACGAGTACGTCTTAAAATTGAAGGGATAAAAAAATTAAAAACTAAAAAATTGCAAACCGAAAAATATAAAAAACAAAACATTGAAAAAACACAAAATTGTAAAAATGAAGAAGATAAAACGCGAGACGAAAAATTGCAAATTGAAAATTTGTAGAAATGAAAAATTAAACAATGGAAAAATTGAAAACCGGGGAAATTTTAAATCGAAAAATTGCAAAATCTAAATATTGAAAAATTCGAAAGTTGGAAAATTAAAAAAATGAAAAAGTTAAATTTACAAACTCGAAAAATTTAAGTCGAAAAAGTTGTCGAAGTGTTATTTACGCAACTGGTCTTGACATTATAGAGGTTATCAAAAAACAAAAATCGCTATTTTTTTCATAATTTCTCAAAGAAGCGACGGGATTTGTTGGGTTGCACTTCAGGGGCGAGTTGGTTTTCCATTCAATAAAAAAATCGAGAACTTTTGGTTTATTTATAAAGGAAATGACAACAATAATGATAATAAGAGTAGTAATACATTGCCCGCTTGTGGTCGAAAAACGCGTCCGCTTTTACTACGTTGGAGTTTTCACTTGGAGTTCTGTCTGATGAATGATGATTGAACAAACAGAAATTTTCCAACATTATTGACAATTATGGTAAACGTAGTTTGACCTAGGGATGCGGTTAGTATCAATAAAAGATGATTTTCAAGTATTGATTGTCCATGTATGAAAACGCAATTATGTTGTCATTACTGGAAAATATAAAAATCTATTGATCGCTTTAAAAAAACTTACAATTTTTTCATCATCGAAAAATAGCTCCCCCTTTCGTCTGTTTGTCCGAAACGCTAATAAAGATTTGGATAAGCATCCCCACCTACAATCGGATGTCGTCATCTCCAAAATTTACGTTAGAAAATATCATTTCAATTTTATAAAATAAGATACTTCCATGTGGTTTATGAATCCGTGTTCAGTTTTTACTGTGGATTTCCAGAATTTTGGAAAAAAAATGAAAATTGTACAACAACATTTTGCAATTCAATTTTGAAACTGCAAAAACGAATATTCTGAAATCCGGTAAATGTTTTAAGGTTATCGTAATCATGGTAAATCGCTAACCAAATTTGCTTAATTATTATAAATCCTCTCTGAAATATACACAACATTATGTACTCAATCAATGCACTCATAGATTTTGGAATTACTTATACAGGGTGACTCAAAAAATAATAAATGGGGCAATTTATTATGTTCATTACTCGCTCCATTTTCCCGAAATTTTTGGAATACAGTACTGTTATTACTAGTATTACACTGCATTTATCCAAACTGATTCTTCTTTACACTGACTTTAACATTACATAAATATTTTTATTTCACCTTATTCAGGTTATCATAAAAAAGTTATTATTTTTGGAAAAATTTGGATTTATTTACCTTCGACCAATTTTTGGTATTACAATTTTTCAGTTTCTCAATTTTTGATTTTTCGATTTTTCAAAATTTCAAAATTAAAAAAAAATAAATATCCTTGGAGAAGAATCAAGGACGAAGTCCAAATTGTTACCAGGAGGTAATATTTCATGGCTGTATACTCAAAAATCTTCACCGTGATGAAACGACATATACTAATATAGTTTAGTACTGGAAAGAATACGGTTAAAATCTGAATAAAGTAAGGAAACTTACATAATGTCGTTTCAGGACTAAGAGCATACTCAACAGTAGTATTGAACGACCATTTGAACACATGAATCGTTAAGGTAGTTCTAATTAACAATCCATACAAATGCCCCTTTTTTAAACTGCTAAGGATATAAAGCTGGACCACGCCCATAGGTTTATACCTATTGTGTTTATTGTCGTTAATGATTTTCATTGGGTTAATTACTAAGTATAAAGAAATTGTTTCGTATAATTGGAGACTTTGATATTTTTTGAAAAAAGATAATCTCCGAAGTTACTGCACCGATTGTTGATGTGGGTATTATGAATATCATGTAGATGGTAAAACGCTAATGAAACTTTGTCTAATCATCTCCACCAATAATGTGATGATGTACATAGAAAATGGGTTTTAAACTGTATAAAATAACATAGTCCCACACATGTAGTTTATGACTCCTTGTTGAGTTTTTACTCGACATGTCCAGATTTTTGGAAAAAAAAATCGAAATTATAAAACAACATTTTGCAGTTTAATTTTGAATCTCCAAAACTCAATGCTGCGAAATCTTGCAGATGTTTTAACGTTACAATAAGCATGATGAATTTTTAATCAAAATATATTTGCTTATCCCCTCCAAAAAAAATGAAGACGTCACCTCAAAATTTTGCCGAATAAATCCTATCTCAAATGTGCAACATATGATGAGGCCGTACTTGTGATTTATCACTCCATTAAAATTTTTAGATATGTTTGAAAAAATTAATGATTGAGTCAATTTATTTTATCGATTAAATCAGCAACGGCTCACTCGATTTTCCCAGAAAATTTTGGAAATGCAATACTGTTATTTTTAGTATTGCACTGCATCAATCCAAGTTGATATACGTGTCCTTGCAAAAATGTTGGTGACGTCATCACAAAATTGTGTAAAGTAAAAACTCAACTCGAAAATGCTGAGTATGTTTCACTGTACTTTAGGTGGGAGGGAAGTTCGACCAATTTTTTTTACAGAAATCTGGATGTCTCGAGTAAAACCTCAACACGGCCATGTACAATTAATTTTGAGATGTCATCACAAAGTTGGTGGTGATGATTAGACAAAGTTTGGCTAGTGTTTTATCATCTACATTAATCTATGTGTTGAATACGAAAGTGTCACGAAATCCGTCACATGCGAGTTGGTAAAACGTTCGCAATCTATCCAAAGGGCCTTGAGTTCGATTCCCGCAAACCAATTTTTTTTTTATTTCATTATTAAAATTTCATTTATTTTAGAATTTTATGTATTACTGTAACTGATTAGAAATTAAAAAATCCATTTTAGGGTGTCTAAAAACAAGGGATAATTATAACTATAAGAAGCGATTTTATTTTATGCAGTAAGTAAACTACTGAACATCATTAACGACAGATTACAATGCAATGGGCGTGGTGTTTATCCAACTTTATATTCTTAGTAGTTTAAAAAAGGGGCATTTGTATCGATTGTTAAGTTGCAAATACTTTAACGATTCTTGTTTTCAAATAGTCATTAAATACGATCGTTGAGCATTCTCTTAGTCGTGAAACGAAAGGATGGAAGGTAAGTTTCTTGAATTTACTCAGTTTTAAAGGGAAATCTTTTCAGTAACAAATTATATCAGAATATGTCGTTTCTTCACGGTGGACATTTTTGAATGTAGACCCATGAAATATTGCCTCTTGGCAATATCTTTGATTCTATCACCTTTGCTTCTCCTCCAAGGATATTTCTTTTTAACAAATTTCGAATTGAAGTATTTCGTTCAGTACGAGCCGATTTACATTCTGTTATTTTATGTGCGTAACAAAATTCGAAACATGAGTTAAACTAATTATTAATTGTAGCTGGGTGTATCCATTTACTGCCAAGATTACACCACTAACATACTCAAAACTTGCACACAGCAAATCCAAGTGTGGAAAATCGAAGAAGCCACGAAAGAGATTAAAGGAAAAGTGACGCAAACTTGGATTTACATTACGGCGTACATGTGCACGACCACAGCACTAGGTCTCCTGGGTGCGATATCCTTCATCGTACCAACTTCCAGAGACAGGGATCTTATTTTCTTTTTCAAAATATCAGAATTGTATTTTCCGCAATGGGAAAATTTTGTCCTGTGGTGTTTAAAACCTGCGCTGTTTGTGATGACCTACGTGGGCGTAAGTATACCCGGATTCGCGATTTTGTATGTCAGCGGCCACGCCAACCTGCAAAAATTTATGCTGAAACACTGCATAGAAGATATAAACGCCAAGTTCGAGCACGTAGAGTACATAAGAGGCAACATCGTGGAGTATCACAGACAGATCGAAGATAAATTGATGTTTTGCGTAAAGTACCACATCCAGCTCACTGAGTAAGATAGTTAGGTATAAGTTTTGAACATAAAACCAGCGAGTTTTTTAGAACCGCTTTAATACCCTTACGACTCACGCAAGTGTACGTTTTGCCGTTTCAAATCATGGGTACCTGCGTAATGGCTAGCATTCTTCTAGTCTTTTTTGCGGTACTTCTTCAACTAACGTCAAATTTTTAATTAACATTGTAGTTTGAAGGTTCTTTGTCCGGCCAGTGCTTTCGCATGGTAGTTTTAGTACTTACGACTTCTGCTATGTTGCTAGGATTTGCAGCCGGTGGACAAGGCATCGAAGATTTGGTACGTTGTAACATAGTCGTGGTACTTTACCAAACCCGAAATTACTTACAGTCGGAGGAAATATACGAAGCTCTGTGCCAACTCGAGTGGTACCACTGGAACTCAAAAAACAAAAAGACTTATCTGTTTTTCCTGATGCACGCAACGCGAAAATTCAAGATCAAGTACTCTGAAAACATTTCGGTTAACTATCAGTTGGGGCTAAAGGTACGACTTGAGGTTGCTGAGACTAAATAAACCGGTGGTTTCAGGTCGTGAACGCCCTTTTCTCGGCCCTGTCGGTCATGTATAGTTTACAGCAGAAGAAGTACTCGTAAGTAAAGAAGGTGCATCACAACGTAGTCGAGATAAATTTCTCTAGGACCTTTTTATTGTTTAAATGTTAGTTCTCCATTCAATAAAAAAATGACGAGAATTTTAGTTTTATTTATAAATAATAATAATACAAATCATAATATATAGTTATGCATTGCCCGCTTGTGGTCGAAAAACACGTCTACTTTTTCTTAAAAACTAGGGAAAGTAGAGTTTTTACCTGCAATCTCGTCTGATGATTAAGCAAACAACATGAAAAAATTGTGACTCGATAATTGTCGTTTATCAATGCATTCACAGATTTTACAGTTACTTATACATGGGTGACTCAAAAAACTTACTGAGGGAGGCAGTTTATCGTATTGCTTAAAACCAAGAACGACTCCTCAATTTTTCCGAGAATTTGGGAATTGTACAGTACCGTTGTTATCGGTGTTACACCACATGTATACGAGATATATATTATAAATTTTGTGTGGAAAACTCATGTACTGTAACATTCCACGCATATCATTTATTTTAATTTACAAAAATATAATGAAAAAAGTAAAATTCGCAACATCAACCATTCGACCAATTTTTTGGTATCTCAATTTTTCGTTTTTACTTCCCGAGCGTAAGCAAAGGAAGTATTGTAATCGAGTCCGTCGGCTACAATGGCTACAGATGAATAGAGCCTAAAAGGAGCACGAGTGGTTTGGTGAGGACCCAGTTAAACTAATGTCACTTTTTGGGTTGAAGTTAATACGATTTCTATTTCAACTAAATTACCTTTACATATCTTAGAACTGTACGAAAAAAGCTTCGGGACCAAGTGTCGTAAGACATTTTTGGTAAAAAATTGTAAATCTTGACATCTAAAGGAAAAATTGTTGTCAAATCTATATTATCAATCAAACTTCTGAATCAAGTTTCCGCAGACATTTTTAACGAAGACTTCTTTTATCAAAATTTTTATTTTTTAACATTCCAAGAAAAAAAAATTTAATAAACTAGATTTTTTACTATCTTCGATCCTAAGAACTTGTATAAGGTGCAAAAAGGTTGAAATGTTGATGATTTTCTATTTTTGACTTAATTCGTGAAGATTCAAAATATTAATAGAAATATACTAGCTGTAGAACCAAGGTTTCTTCACCAAGTTTCGACACACATTTTCAGCCAAGACACGATTAAAGAAAATTAGCACATTTTTACTTTCAAAGAGAACAATTTTGTCAATCCTAAATTATCAAGTTCGATCCAATATCGTTTTTTTCTTTCTTGGATTCTAGGAATATTTATTCTATAAGATTGTAAAAACGCAGAAATTGGATTTTCTATTTTTAGCTAAATTCCGAAAGATTCAAAACGCCAATAAAATTTAAGTATACCTATTACAACTAGAACCAGAATATTTCTTGACCAAGTTTCTACAGATATTTTCAGCGCAGACCCAATTTAACAGAATTGACAACTTTGATATACGAAAAAACAAATTTTGCTAAATCTAGATTGCCAAACACCGTCCAATAAAATCGATTTTTTGCTTTCTTCGACCATAATAACTTCCATAAGATGACAAAAACGTTGACATATGGATTTTGAAATTTAACTAAATTCCAGAAGGTTCAGAATGGTAATAGAAAATACCAGAGGTAGAAGCAAAAAAATGTTTGGCCAAGTTTCCACAGACATGTTTACTAACGACCCGATTAAAGAAAATTTTCACTTATTGACATCCAAAGAAAAAAAATTTGTCAAATCTACATTATCAACTTCTATCCAATATCGACTTTTACTATTTTAGATTCTAAGAATATCTATAAGATCGGCAAAACGCTGAAATGTGCATTTTACATTTTTAGCTAAACTCCTAACGATTCAAAACGCCAATGAGACTGATTTTGGCAAATGACAAATCCTTAAAGAAAATAGAGGGTGGGTGGGCGGGGCTAATATCTGCCAAAATAAGATCGATTTTAGCAAATGACATCGCCTCTAAGAAAATAGGGGGCGGGTACCAGCTCCACTCACTCGCCGTCGAATCTCTTAGAGAGTATGTCATGCAAAATCAGTCTTATCTTAGCAGGTACTAGCCCCACCCACCCGCCCTCTCTTCTTTTAGAAGGTATATCATTTGCCAAAGTCAGTCTTATCTTGACAAGTATTAGTGCCGCCCACCCGCCCTTTATTTTCTTAGAGAATATTTTCTTCTCTTTCACGTCTTCCTTTATATAATTGTTCCACCAGGCTATTTGTCTTTTTTTATTTGTATTCCTATTATTCCGCATGTTTCAGTTGGCGACTGAACTGTGGATTTTCTATTTTTGCCTAAATTCCGAAAGATACAAAACGCAAATGGCACTGATTTTTGTAAATGATATCCTTTTAGAGAAAATACAGGGTGGATGGGTGGAGCTGGTACCTGCTAAGATTGATTTTGGCAAATGACATATTCTCTAAGACTAAGAAGATAGTGGGCTCCTGCTAAGATAAGACTGATTTTGACAAATGACATACTTTCAAAGAAAATACAGGTATCCTCAGTACCTTCGAAAATAAGATTGCTTTTAGCAAATAGGGGGCGGGTACCAGCTCCGCTCACTCGCCCTCGAATCTCTGACAGAGTATGTCATGCAAAATCAGTCTTAGCAGGTACGCTTTCTCGATCTTTCATGACCCCTAGAAGATGAAGAACTAGGTCTCCCATTTCCGTCTGTCTGTCCGTCTGTCTGCCGTCCCGGATTTTTATTAGACAGATAATCTCCGAAAGTACTGGACCGATTGTTACCAAATTTTGTACTTATATTAGGAATATCATGTAGATGGTAAAACGCTAACCAAAATTTGTCTAATCAACCTCACCACTAATGCGATGACGTCACTTCAAAATTGTACATAGTAAATGGGTCTTAAATTGTATAAAATAACATAGTCCTACACATGTCGTTTACGACTCCGAATTGAGTTTTTACCCGAAACGTCCAGATTTTTGGAAAAAAATCAAAATTGTAAAACAACATTTTCCAATTTAATTTTGAATCTGCTAACCCGAATGTTTTGAAATGTTGCAGATGTTTCAAGGCTTTAAAGAGCGTCATAAATCTTTAGTCAAATATATTTGGTTATCCCCTCCAAAAACTTGATGAAGTCAGCTCAAAAGTTTGCCGAATAAATCCGATCTAAAATGTACAAAATATGATGAGTCTGTACTTGTGATCTATCACTCCATTAATATGTTTTGGTTTTGCATATACAGGGTGACTCAAAAAAATTAATGAATGCGTAAATTTATTTTATTGATTTACTCAGGAACTAGAAAACCGAATGCTTTGAAATCTTGAAGAGGTTTTAAAGTTATCATAAGCATGGTAAGTTTTTGATCAAAATGTATTTGCTCAATCTCCCTAAAAAGTTTCATATACGAGTATTTTGGAATTTTATGTATTACTGTAACTGATTAAAAATTATATAAATTCATTTTGGGGTGTAAACAAGGGATAATTATAACTATATGAAACAATTTTATTTTATCCAGTAAGTAAACTGCTGAAGATCATTAACGATACATTACAATGCTATGGGCGTGGTGTTTTTCCAACTTTATATTCTTAGTTGTTTATAAAAGGGGCATTTATATCGATTGTTAATTGACAACTACCTTAACGATTCTTGCGTTCAAATAGTCGTTAAATACGATCGCTGAGCATTCCCTTAGTCCTGAAACGAGAGGATGGAAGGTAAGTTTCTTGAATATACTCAATTTTAAAGTGAAATATTTTCAGTAACAAACTATATCAGAATATGTCGTTTTTTAACGGTGGACATTTTTGAATACAGAGGCATGAAATATTGCCTCCTGGTAATATCTTTGATTCTATCAGTTTTGATTCTCCTCCAGGGATATTTCTTTTTAAAAAAATTCGAATTGAATTATTTCGTTCAGTACGAGCCGATTTACATTCTGTTATTTTATGTGCGTAACGAAATTCGAACCATGAATTAAACTAATTATTAATTGTAGATGGGGGTATCCATTTACTGTGAAGCTTACACCACTAACATAATCAAAACTTACGTACACCAATTCCAAGTGTGGAAAAACGAAGAAGCCATAAAAGCGATTAAAGGAAAAGTGAGGCAAAATTGGATTTACATTACGGCGTATATGTCCATGACCACGGCTCTAAGTCTCATGGGTACGATATCCTGCATGGTACCAACTTCGAGAGACAAGGATCTTATGTTCGTTCTCAAAATAATAGAACTGTACTTTCCGCGATGGGAAAATTTTATCGTGTGGTGTTTAAAACCTTTGTTTTTTGTGTTAGTGTACGTGGGCATCAGTGTACCTGGATTCGCGATTTTGTATTTCCACGGCCACGCCAACCTGCAAAAATTTATGCTGAAACACTGTATACAAGATATAAACGCCAAGTTCGAGCACGTAGAGTACATAAGATGGAACAACGCGGAGTACCACAAACAGATCGAAGATAAATTGATGTCGTGTGTAAAGTACCACATCCAGTTCACTGAGTAAGATAATTACAAATTTTGAAGGTAAAACCAACGAGTTTTTCAGAACCGCTTCCAGAGCCTTAGGACTCACGCAAGTGTACGTTCTGCCGTTTCAAATCATGGGTACCTGCGTAATGGCTAGCATTCTTCTAGTCTTTTTTGCGGTATTTCTCCCACTAATGTTAAATTTTTAATTAACATTGTAGTTTGAAGGTTCTTTGTCCGACCAGTACCTTCGCATGGTACTTATGGTACTTACGACGTCTGCTATGTTGCTGGGGTTTGCAGCCGGTGGGCAAGGAATCGAAGATTGGGTACGTTGTAACATAGTCGTGGTACTTTACCAAACCCGAAATTACTTACAGTCGGAGGAAATCTACGAAGCTCTGAGCCAAGTCGAGTGGTACCACTGGAACTCAAAAAACAAAAAAACTTACCTGTTTTTCCTGATGCACGCAACGCGAAAATTCAAGATCAAGTATTCTGAAAACATTTCGCTTAACTATCAGTTGGGGTTAAAGGTACGACTTGGACTTGCTGGGACGAAATAAACCGGTGATTTCAGATTGTGAACGCCATTTTCTCCGCCATGTCGGTCATATATAGTTTACAGCAGAAGAAGAACTCGTAAGCAAAGAAGGTGAACCACAACGTAGTCGAGATAAATTTCTCTAGGATCGTTTTATTGTTAAAATGTTAGCTTTCCATTCAATAAAAAAAAACGACAATTTTAGTTTTATTTATAAATAATAATATTAATAATATCAAGAACAATAGTAATACATTCCCGCTTGTGGTCGAAAAACGCGTCTGATTTTAATTAAAAACTAGATTATTAGGTGATTAGGGTTTACCTGCAATCCCGTCTGATGATTAAACAGACAATATGAAAAAATTGTGACTCTAGAACTGTCGTTTATCAATGCAGTCGCAGATTTTACAGTTACTTACACAGGGTCACTCAAAAAAATTAATGAATGAGGCAGTTTATTGTATTGATTAAAATCAAGAACGACTCCTCAATTTTCCCGAGAATTTGGGAATACAGTACCGTTATTATCGGTGTTACACCACATGTACACGAGATACATATAATAAATTTTGTGTGGAATACTCATGTACTTTAACATTACACACATATCATTTATTTTAATTTACAAAAATATCATGAAAAAAGTAAAATTCGCAACATCAACTATTATCGATTTTTAAGTTTCTCAATTTTTAATGTTTCAGCTGATTTCCAATTCTTAGATTTTTCAAACTTTTCATTTTATACTGTTTCGTTTTTTCATTTTTACAATATTGTAATTTTTCCATTTTTTTGAGTCGAAAGAAAAAAAATCGAAAAAGTGGACAATCGAGAAACTTGAAAATCGAAAAAAATTATTAAAAAGCAAAATTGGAACGAAGAAAAAACCAATCGAATCGAAAAACTGGTAAACCAAAAATTTAGAATCGCTAAAATTTTTGAAAATAGTACGACCGAAGGATCGAAAAAATGAAAGATTAAATTGTGATAAATTGAAAAATTAAGAATTGAAAAAGTCTTAAAACCAAGTATTGAAAAAAGAAAAAATTCTAGAACCGTGTAATTGAAAAATTGGGAAATTTTAAATTGTAATTGTTATTACTTATTATTTAAAATGAAAACTAGAAAAACTGCAAATTAAAAATTGAGGAGGCGAACAATTAAAAAATCTAAAATTTTTTTGAAACATTGAAAACCGGGAAATTGAAGAAGTGACAAATTGAAAAATCGTGAAACTGCAAATCGAAAATTAACAAAATCTATGAATTGAAACATTCAATTTGAAATTGAAGTTGGAAGATCGAAAAACTGAAAAATGTAAGAATGTAAACTCGACGAGTACGTCTTAAAATTGAAGGGATAAAAAAATTAAAAACAAAAAAATTGCAAACCGAAAAATATAAAAAACAAAACATTGAAAAAACAAAAAATTGTAAAAATGGAGAAGATAAAAAGCGAGACGAAAAATTGCAAATTGAAAATTTGTAGAAATGAAAAATTAAGCAATCGAAAAATTGAAAACTGGGGAAATTTTAAATCGAAAAATTGCAAAATCTAAATATTGAAAAGTTGGAAAATTAAAAAAATGAAAAAGTTAAATTTACAAACTCGAAAAATTTAAGTCAAAAAAGTTGTCGAAGTGTTATTTACGCAACTGGTCTTTACATTATACAGGTTATCAAAAAACAAAAATTGCAATTTTTTTTATAATTTCTCAAACAAGCGGCGGGATTTGTTGGGTTGCACTTCAGGGGCGAGTTGGTTTTCCATTCAATAAAAAAATCGAGGACTTTTTGTTTACTTAGTAATGATAATAATAGTAGTAATACATTGCTCGCTTCTGGTCGAAAAACGCGTCCGCTTTTACTACGTTGGAGTTTTCACTTGGAGTCCTGTCTGATGAATGATGATTGAACAAACAGAAATTTTCCAACATTATCGACAATTATGGTAAACGTAGTTTGACCTAGGGATGCGATTAGTATCAATAAAAGATGATTTTCAAGTATTGATTGTCCATGTAAGAAAACGCAATTATGTTGTCATTACTGAAAAATATAAAAATCTAATGATCGCTTTAAAAAAACTTACAATTTATTCATCATCGAAAAATAGCTCCCCCTTTCGTCTGTTTGTCCGAAACGCTAATCAAGATTTGGATAAGCATCCCCACCTACAATGGGATGACGTCATCTCCAAAATTTACGTTAGAAAATATCATTTCAATTTTATAAAATAAGACACTCCTATGTGGTTTATGAATCCGTGTTCAGTTTTTACTGTGGACTTCCGACTTTTGGAAAAAAATGAAAATTGTACAACAACATTTTGCAATTCAATTTTGAAACTGCAAAAACGAACATTCTGAAATCCGGTAAATATTTAAGGTTATCGTAATCATGGTAAATCGCTAACCAAATTTGTTTAATTAATTATTATAAATCCTCTCTGAAATATACACAACATTATGTACTCAATCAATGCACTCATAGATTTTGGAATTACTTATACAGGGTGACTCAAAAAATAATAAATGGGGCAATTTATTATGTTGATTACTCGCTCCATTTTCCCGAAATTTTTGGAATACAGTACTGTTATTACTAGTATTACACTGCATTTATCCAAACTGATTCTTCTTTACACTGACTTTAACATTACATACATATTTTTATTTCAACTTATTCAGGTTATCATAAAAAAGTAAAATTCACAACATCAAATGTTATTATTTTTGGAAAAATTTGGATTTATTTACCTTCGACCAACTTTTGGTATCACAATTTTTCAGTTTTCCTTTGTCTTGGATTTTACAATTTTTTGATGCCACAATTTTCCGATATTACAATTTTTCAGTTTCTCAATTTTTGATTTTTCGATTTTTCAAAATTTCAAAATTAAAAAAACTAAATATCCTTGGAGAAGAATCAAGGACGAAGTCCAAATTGTTACCAGGAGGTAATATTTCATGGCTGTATACTCAAAAATCTCCACCGTGATGAAACGACATATATTAATATAGTTTAGTACTGGAAAGAATACGGTTAAAATCTGAATAAAGTAAAGAAACTTACATCATGTCGTTTCAGGACTAAGAGCATACTCAACAGTAGTATTGAACGACTATTTGAACACATGAATCGTTAAGGTAGTTCTAATTAACAATCGATACAAATGCCCCTTTTTTAAACTGCTAAGGATATAAAGCTGGACCACGTCCATAGGATTATACCTATTGTGTTTATTGTCGTTAATGATCTTCATTGGGTTAATTACTAAGTATAAAGAAATTGTTTCGTATAATTGGAGAATTTGATATTTTTTGAAAAAAGATAATCTCCGAAGTTACTGCACCGATTGTTGATGTGGGTATTATGAATATCATGTAGATGGTAAAACGCTAATGAAACTTTGTCTAATCATCTCCACCAATAATGTGATGATGTACGTACAAAATGGGTTTTAAACTGTATAAAATAACATAGTCCCACACATGTAGTTTATGACCCCGTGTTCAGTTTTTACTCGACATGTCCAGATTTTTGGAAAAAAATCGAAATTATAAAACAACATTTTGCAATTTAATTTTGAATCTGCAATACTAAATGCTTCGAAATGATGATGTTTTAACGTTACAATAAGCATGATGAATTTTTAATCAAAATATATTTGCTTATCCCCTCCAAAAAAAATGAAGACGTCACCTCAGAATTTTGCCGAATAAATCCTATCTAGATTTGTTTGAAAAAATGAATTATTGAGTAAATTAATTTTATCGATTAAATCAGCAACAGCTCACTCGATTTTCCCAGAAAATTTTGGGAATGCAATACTGTTATTTTTAGTATTACACTCAGAGATATGTAAAAGACAGATACGGTTATAGCTTTCCCGATCTAGGGCCAACATCTATGATCTAAGAGTAGCAATACTTTGTGTCGCCTATCCTTTTCTATATCAGCACCAGTACTATGGATTGCCAACTGTAGGCTACATCGATCACTCTCTAAAAGGTGGTTGTCTTGTTATTGGCCCGTTCTGATGGCGGCAATTATAAATAATCATAACCACCCACAGTCTGAGTGGTCTGACAGGGACCGGCACAAACACAAGAACGGCATCAACGACAAACGTTGCGCTAACTGATTGGTTGCGCCGTACAGAGCGAGACCTTCAGATATCGGGTTACCATTATACGTGCTAGAGAAAAAGAGGGAGATATAAACGTACAGTGACATTTTGGCCCTAAACGTATGTCCACGAGAACATTAAATATCTGTATCTAGTCTTTTACATATCTCTGATTACACTGCACCAATCCAAGTTAATATACGTGTTCATGCAAAAATGTTGATGACGTCATTACAAAATTGTGTAAAGTAAAAACTCAACTTGAAAATGCTGAGTATGTTTCACTGTACTTTAGGTGGGAGGGAAGTTCGACCAATTTTTTTTCCAGAAATCTGGATGTCTCGAGTAAAACCTCAACACGGCCATGTACAATTTTGAGACGTCATCACAAAGTTGGTGGTGATGATTAGACAAAGTTTGGCTAGTGTTTTATCATCTACATTAATCTATGTGTTGAAAACGAAACTGTCACGAAATCCACCACATGCGAGTTGGTAAAACGTTCGCAATCTATCCAAAGGGCCTTGAGTTCGATCCCCGCATACCCATTTTTTTTTCCTGATTTTATTATTCAAACTTCATATATTCTGAAATTTTATGTATTACTGTAACTGATTAAAAATTAAAAAATCCATTTTAGGGTGTCTAAAAACAAGGGATAATTATAACTATAAGAAGCAATTTTATTTTATGCACTAAGTAAACTACTGAACATCATTAATGAGAGATTACAATGCTGTGGGCGTGGTGTTTCTCCAACTTTATATTCTTAGTAGTTTAAAAAAGGGGCATTTGTATCGATTGTTAAGTCGCAAAAACTTTAACGATTCTTGTCTTCAAATAGTCATTAAATACGATCGTTGAGCATTCTCTTAGTCGTGAAACGAAAGGATGGAAGGTAAGTTTCTTGAATTTACTCAGTTTTAAAGGGAAATCTTTTCAGTAACAAATTATATCAGAATATGTCGTTTCTTCACGGTGGACATTTTTGAATGTAGACCCATGAAATATTGCCTCTTGGCAATATCTTTGATTCTAACACCTTTGATTTTCCTCCAGGGATATTTCTTTTTAAAAAATTTCGAATTGATATATTTCGTTCAGTATGAGCCCATTTACATGGTGTTATTATATGTGCGTAAAAAAATTCGAAACATGAGTTAAACTAATTATTAATTGTAGATGGTGGTATCCATTTACTGCGAAGCTTACACCACTAACATAATCAAAACTTGTATGCAGCAAATCCAAGTGTGGAAAATCCACGAAGCCACAAAAGAGATTAAAGGAAAAGTGACGCAAACTTGGATTTACATTACGGCGTACATGTGCACGACCGCGGCTCTAAGTCTCTTGGGTACGATATCTTTCATCGTACCAACTTGTAGAGACAAGGATCTTATTTTCGTTTTCAAATTATCAGAACTGTATTTTCCGCAATGGGAAAATTTTGTCGTGTGGTGTTTAAAACTTACGCTGTTTGTGTTGACCTACGTGGGCGTAAGTGTACCTGGATTCGCGCTTTTGTATTTACACGGCCACCTCAACCTACAAAAATTTATGCTGAAGCACTGCTTGCAAGATATAAACGCCAGGTTCGAGCACGTAGAGTACAACGTGGAATACCACAGAGAAATCGAAGATAAATTGATGTCTTGCGTGAAGTACCATATCCAGCTCACTAAGTAAGATAATTATAAATTTTGAAGGTAAAACCAACGAGTTTTTCAGAACCGCTTTAATACCCTTACGACTGGCGGAAGTGTACGTTTTGCCGTTTCAAATCATGGGTACCTGCGTCGCGGCTAGTATTCTTCTAGTGTTCTTTGCGGTACTTCTTCAACTAACGTCAAATTTTTAATTAACATTGTAGTTTGAAGGTTCTTTGTCCGACCAGTACTTTCGCATGGTTGTTTTGGCACTTACGACGTCTGCTATGTTGGTAGGGTTTGCAGCCGGTGGACAAGGAATCGAAGATTGGGTACGTTGTAACATAGTCGTGGTACTTTACCAAACCCCAAATTACTTACAGTCGGAGGAAATCTACGAAGCTCTGAGCCAAGTCGAGTGGTACCACTGGAACTCAAAAAACAAAAAAACTTACCTGTTTTTCCTGATGCACGCAACGCGAAAATTCAAGATCAAGTATTCTGAAAACATTTCGGTTAACTATCAGTTGGGGCTAAAGGTACGATTTGGGGTTGCTGGGGCGAAATAAACCTGTGATTTCAGGTCGTGAACGCCATTTTCTCCGCCATGTCGGTCATATATAGTTTACAGCAGAAGAAGAACTCGTAAGTAAAGAAGGTGCATCACAACATAGTCGAGATAAATTTCTCCAGTATCGTTTTATTGTTAAAATGTTAGCTTTCCATTCAATAAAAAAAATAACGACAATTTTAGTTTTATTTATAAATAATAATATTAATAATATTGCCCGCTCGTGGTCGAAAAACGCGTCTGATTTTTCTTAAAAACTAGGCGAATTAGAGTAGTAACCTGCAATCCCGTCAGACGATTAAACAATATGAAAAAATTGTGACTCTAGAACTGTCGTTTATCAATGCAGTCGTAGATTTTACAGTTACTTACACAGGGTCACTCAAAAAAATTTATGAATGAGGCAGTTTATTGTATTGATTAAAATCAAGAACGACTCCTCAATTTTCCCGAGAATTTGGGAATACAGTACCGTTATTATCGGTGTTACACCACATGTATACGAGATACATATTATAAATTTTGTGTGGAATACTCATGTACTTTAACATTACACACATATCATTTATTTTAATTTATAAAAATATCATGAAAAAAGTAAAATTCGCAACATCAACTATTCGACCGATTTTTTGGTATCTCAATTTTTTTTAACTTGCTTTTTTTCGATTTTTAAGTTTCTCAATTTTTAATGCTTCATCTGATTTCCAATTCTTAGATTTTTCAAAGTTTTCATTTTATACTTTTTCGTTTTTTCATTTTTTATTTTTCATTTTTACAATTTTGCAATTTTTCCATTTTTTTGAGTCGAAAGTTAAAAAACCGAAAAAGTGGAAAATCGAGAAACTTGAAAATCGAAAAAAATTATAAAATTATAAAAAAGCAAAATCTGAATGAAGACAAAAAATAATCGAATCGAAAAACTGGTAACCGCCAAAATTTTTGAAAATTGTACGACTGAAGGATCGAAAAAATGAAAGATGTAACGGAACTTAGTTTTGATTAAAAGAAAGAAGAGTGGGCTGATTTAAGAAAATAGTTGACAGACAGAAAACAGAATCTGAATGTTTAATTTTGTTGATGTTTTGTACATTTAAATAAATGAATCATATTATAAAGATTAAATTGTGATAAACTGAAAAATTAACAATCGAAAAAGTTTTAAAACAAAGTATTGAAAAAAAAAATTCTAGAACCGTGTAATTGAAAAATTGAGAAATTTTAAATTGCAATTTTTATTACATATTATTTAAAATGAAAACTAGAAAAACTGCAAATTAAAAATTGAGGAGACGAAAAATTAAAAAATCTAAAAATTTTTTGAAACATTGAAAACCGGGAAATTGAAGAAGTGACAAATTGAAAAATCGTGAAACTGCAAATCGAAAATTAACAAAATCTAGAAATTGAAACATTCAATATGAAATTGAAGTTGGAAGATCGAAAAACTGAAAAATGTAAGAATGTAAACTCGACGAGTGTGTCTTAAAATTGAAGGGATAAAAAAATTAAAAACTAAAAAATTGCAAACCGCAAAATATAAAAAACAAAACATTGAAAAAACAAAAAATTGTTAAAATGAAGAAAATAAAAAGCGAGACGAAAAATTGCAAATTGAAAATTTGTAGAAATGAAAAATTAAACAATCGAAAAATTGAAAACTGGGGAAATTTTAAATCGAAAAATTGCAAAATCTAAATATTGAAAAATTCAAAAGTTGGAAAATGAAAAAAATGAAAAAGTTAAATTTACAAACTCGAAAAGTTTAAGTCAAAAAAGTTGTCGAAGTGTTATTTACGCAACTGGTCTTGACATTATGGAGGTTATCAAAAACCAAAAATTGCAATTTTTTTATAATTTCTCAAAGAAACGACGGGATTCGTTGGATTGCACTTCAGGGGCGAGTTGGTTTTCCATTCAATAAAAAAATTGAGAACTTTTGGTATACTTATAAAAGAAATGACAACAATAATGATAACAACAGTAGTAATACATGGCCCGCTTGTGGTCGAAAAACGCGTCCGCTTTTACTGCGTTGGAGTTTTCACTCCTGTCTGATGAATGATGATTGAACAAACAGAAATTTTCCAACATTATCGACAATTATGGTAAACGTAGTTTGACCTAGGGATGCGATTAGTATCAATAAAAGATGATTTTCAAGTAATGATTGTCCATGTAAGAAAACGCAATTATGTTGTCATTACTGGAAAATATAAAAATCTATCGATCGCTTTAAAAAAACTTATAATTTATTCATCATCGAAAAATAGCTCCCCCTTTCGTCTGTTTGTCCGAAACGCTAATCAAGATTTTAAGCATCCCCACCTACAATCGGATGACGTCATCTCCAAAATTTACGTTAGAAAATATAATTTCAATTTTATAAAATACGATACTCCGTGTTCAGTTTTTACTGTGGACTTCCGACTTTTGGAAAAAAAATGAAAATTGTACAACAACATTTTGCAATTCAATTTTGAAACTGCAAAAACGAATATTCTGAAATCCGGTAAATGTTTAAGGTTATCGTAATCATGGTAAATCGCTAACTAAATTTGTTTAATTATTATTATAAATCCTCTATGAAATATACACAACATTATGTACTCAATCAATGCACTCATAGATTTTGGAATTACTTATACAGGGTGACTCAAAAAATAATAAATGGGGCAATTTATTATGTTCATTACTCGCTCCATTTTCCCGAAATTTTTGGAATACAGTACTGTTATTACTAGTATTACACTGCATTTATTCAAACTGATTTTTCTTTACACTGACTTTAACATTACATACATATTTTAATTTCAACTTATTCAGTTTATCATAAAAAAGTAAAATTCACAACATCAAATGTTATTATTTATGGAAAAAATTGGATTTATTTACCTTCGACCAATTTTTGGTATCACAATTTTTCAGATTTTCTTTGTCTTCGATTTTACAATTTTTTGATGTCACAATTTTCCGATATTACAATTTTTCAGTTTCTCAATTTTTGATTTTTCGATTTTTAAAATAACATAGTCCCACACATGTAGTTTATGACCCCGTGTTGAGTTTTTACTCGAAATGTCCGGATTTTTGGAAAAAAAATCGAAATTATAAAACAACATTTTGCAATTTAATTTTGAATCTGCAATACTAAATGCTTCGAAATCTTGCAGATGTTTTAACGTTACAATAAGCATGATAAATTTTTAATCAAAATATATGATGAGCCTGTACTTGTGATTTATCACTCCATTAATATTTTTAGATTTGTTTGAAAAAATTAATGATTGAGTCAATCTATTTGATCGATTAAATCAGCAACGGCTCACTCGATTTTCCCAGAAAATTTTGGAAATGCAATACTGTTATTTTTAGTATTCGACACATTTTTTTTCCAGAAATCTGGATGTCTCGAGTAAAACTCAACACGGATTCATAAAGTATACGTTTAGGAGTATGCTATTTTATATAGTTCAAAACCCATTGGCCATGTACAATTTTGAGACGTCATCACAAAGTTGGTGGTGATGATTAGACAAAGTTTGGCTAGTGTTTTATCGTCTACATTCATCGATATGTTGAATACGAAACCGTCATGAAATCCATCACATGCGAGTTGGTAAAACGTTCGCAATCTACCCAAGAGGCCTCGAGTTCAATCCCCCGGAAAACCCTTTTTTTTCCTGTTTTTATTATTCATATTTTATATATTCTGGAATTTTATGTATTACTGTAACTGATTAAAAATTATAAAAATCCATTTTAGGGTGTCTAAAAACAAGGGATAATTATAACTATAAGAAACAATTTTATTTTATTCAGTAAGTAAACTACTGAACATCATTAATGACAGATTACAATGCTGTGGGCGTGGTGTTTCTCCAACTTTATATTCTTAATAGTTTAAAAAAGGGGCATTTGTATCGATTGTTAAGTCGCAAATACTTTAACGATTCTTGTGTTCAAATAGTCGTTAAATACGATCGTTGAGCATTCTCTTAGTCGTGAAACGAAAGGATGGAAGGTAAGTTTCTTGAGTTTACACAGTTTTAAAGGGAAATCTTTTCAGTAACAAATTATATCAGAATATGTCGTTTCTTCACGGTGGACATTTTTGAGTGTAGAGCCATGAAATATTGCCTCTTGGCAATATCTTTGATTATATCACCTTTGATTCTCCTCCAAGGATATTTCTTTTTAAAAAATTTCGAATTGAAATATTTCGTTCAGTATGAGCCTATTTACATTCTGTTATTATATGTGCGTAACTAAATTCGAAACATGAGTTAAACTAATTATTAATTGTAGATGATGGTATCCATTTACTGTCAAGCTTACACCACTAACATAATCAAAACTTACATTCACGAAATCCAAGTGTGGAAAATCGAAGAAGTCACAAAAGAGATTAAAAGAAAAGTGAGGCAAACTTGGATTTACATTACGGCGTACATGTGCACGACCACGGCTCTAGGTCTCATGGCTGGGATATCGTCCACCGTACCGACTTCGCTGGACAATGATCTTATTTTCGTTTACAAAATAGTAGAACTGTATTTTCCGCAATGGGAAAATTTTATCGTGTGGTGTCTAAAACCTACGTTTTTTGTGTTGACGTACGTGGGCATAAGTGTACCTGGATTCGCGATTTTGTATTTCCACGGCCACGCCAACCTGCAAAAATTTATGCTGAAACACTGCTTGAAAGATATAAACGCCAAGTTCAAACACCTAGAGTACATTAGATGGAACAACGTGGAGTACCACAGGGAGATCGAGGAAAAATTGATGTTTTGCGTGAAGCGCCACGTCCAGCTCACTGAGTAAGATAGTCATAAACTTTGAAGGTAAAACCAACGAGTTTTTCAGAATCGCTTCAAGAGCCTTACGACTCACGCAAGTGTACGTTTTGCCGTTTCAAATCATGGGTACCTGGGTAATGGCTAGTATTCTTCTAGTCTTTTTTGCGGTACTTCTCCCACTAACGTCAAATTTTTAATTAACATTGTAGTTTGAAGGTTCTTTGTCCGACCAGTACTTTCGCATGGTACTTATGATACTTACGACGTCTGCTATGTTGCTAGGGTTTGCAGCCGGTGGGCAAGGAATCGAAGATTGGGTACGTTGTAACATAGTCGTGGTACTTTACCAAACCCGAAATTACTTACAGTCGGAGGAAATATACGAAACTCTGTGCCAAGTCGAGTGGTACCACTGGAACTCAAAAAACAAAAAAACTTACCTGTTTTTCCTGATGCACGCGGCGCGAATATTCAAGATCAAGTACTCTGAAAACGTTTCGCTTAACTATCAGCTGGGGCTAAAGGTACGACTTGGGCTTGCTGGGGCGAAATAAACCTGTGATTTCAGGTTGTGAACGCCATTTTTTCCGCCATGTCGGTCATATATAGTTTACAGCAGAAGAAGAACTCGTAAGTAAAGAAGGTACATCACAACGTAGTCGAGATAAATTTCTCTAGGATCTTTTTATTGTTCAAATGTTATCTTCCCATTCAATAAAAAAAAGACAAGAATTTTCGTTTTATTTATAACATAACATAACATAACATATTTATGTGTACATATAAACATATAACACTGTTTTTGTACACGTCAACATACAACAAAACAAATTGTTTACAATATCTACATGGAATTTGTGTAAGGCAAGACCTAGTAACGTCCAACAAAAACCTCCACATATAACTATTTAAGATCGACACATACTTTATAAATGAATAGGAGGTGTTTGTTTGTATTCATCCACCGAGTAAAAATTGTGCATTTTACAATGTTTCGTTATTTTGTGTTTGAACGTTGTCAGTGGAAGTTTTTTGTATGATTCTGGGAGATTATTATACATACTTACGTCCAAGGAGTTTTTAATGGATTTTGTGAATTTGTATTTAGCAGTTTTGATGTGCTGAGCTTGCCTAGTATTATACGAATGAACATCTGAATTTTTAACCATCGTTTTCTGCTTCTTATGGATTTCAATTAGCATACTAATGATGTAAAGACATGGAAATGTTAAGATGCCGTATTTCAGGAACAAGGGCTTGCAATGGTCACGTAAGCTGGCATTTGCAAGAATTCTGACCGCTCGTTTTTGGAGTCGGAATATTTTAATCGCATAACTACTACTTCCCCAACTCAATATACCATACATAAGACGAGACTGGAACAGAGCGTGATAGGCTGAAAGGAGTAAATTGAAGCTCAGTAAGGGTCGTAATTTTCTCGGGAGAAAAATGGTGCTAGCTAATTTTGAAGAAACTTGGTTGATGTGTGCTTGCCAGTTTAAACCATCGTCTATCGTTATACCTAGGAGTTTAATATTTTTTCCATTTAGCAAAGTGGGATTTGTCGATAGGAATAATTCCTGCGTCTTATTCTTGTTAAGACATAGTCCATTTGTATTAAACCAAGTTTCTATATTCTGTTTCCTTTCGTTTATTAGTTCTTTAAGTCTAACTGGATCCTTGTCAGAGACTATACTGGTGGTATCATCTGCGAACAGAATTGCGTCGTCTAAATCGTTTATCATTAACAGAAACAATAGTGGTCCCAGGACGGATCCCTGCGGTACGCCATATTTCACGTTACGATATAGTGACTCTTCATTGGCAACAACAACTTTTTGTTGTCTGTTTCCCAAGTAAGATTCGAAAAATGACCAAGCAGTTCCCCGAATTCCATAGTGTGCCAATTTTTCGAGAAGGTTTCCATGATCGACACAATCAAAGGCCTTGCTGAGGTCAAAGTAGACCAAAGAGGTGTGCATGTTCTCCTCAAAACCCTCAACAATACCCTCAATTACAGTTAAAACAGCGTCTATTGTCGACTTTCCAGATGTAAAACCAAACTGGAGATTGTTGAGTGTTTTATTTTTTGATAAAAAGTTCGAGAGCCTAACTTTAACAAGTATTTCAATTAGTTTACCTAAAATCGGTATTATGCAGATCGGGCGATAGTTGTTCACGTCCTGTGGATCACCATTTTTGAAAATTGCGACTACTCTTGACTTTTTCATAGCATCTGGAAAGACTCCCTGAGAAAAACATGCATTTATAAGTTTACAGAGAGGCTTCGCGTAGATATCGATAGTTTTTTTTACTATTTTGGTGTTTAGATTGTAGACATCAAAAGAGTTTGTATTCTTTAGAGAATTTGCCGTCAAGATCAATTCATCTATCGTTGTTGGTACAAGAAAAAATGAACCAGCAGGGGAGGGTCTACTTGACATATATTCACCTGGTGTGCCCGCTACTGGTGGAAGATTTTTAACGACTGATTCTGGGAGAGACGTAAAGTGCAGGTTAAATTTCTCACTTGAGATCGCACTTCCAGTAATATGTTGTTTTTTGTTTCGTTCGTGATTTATTAGTCGCCAAGCACCCTTCGACACGGAGCTGGCCCGCTCTATATATGAGTCGTACGCTTTTTTCTTTGTCTCATTTATTAATTTATTATAGTCAGTTTTCAATCTTCTCAGAGTATTTATATCTACGGGGTCCTTTGTAACTTCACTTACGATTTTTACGGCGCTCAAAGTGTCTCTAAACTGCCTAAGCTCTTTACTAAACCATGGAGCAATCTGCGACTGGTCATTTTTGCACTTTTTCAGGGGAAGATGTTCGTTTATAAGCTGGGAGAGCGTACCAACTATAACTGAGCTTGCAGCGTCGACATCTAATAAAGGCCTATAGAAAATACTCCAATCAACTTCAAGCAAAGACTGTCGAAGCTTTGCTATTCCAACATCAGTGATAGGTCTCGTCCACGTAATGGGTTTTGACTGAGAAGAGTGTATTTGCATCTTAATGTATTGACCATAATGATCCGAGAGGACAGGTTCAATAACGCCCGTCTCATACTCCTCTACAAGATTCGTTAAGATGTTATCTACACAACTTTTAGAGTGTTTACTAACTCTCGTATAATCCGAAATAGTGGGAAGAATGTTAAAAGTATATAACAGCAATTTGAGTTCAGACAGTACATTCGAAGATGTTTTAAAGTCAACATTGAAGTCACCGAGTAAAATTATGTTTTTGTATTTTTTAAAAATCATAGTTAGTAAACTCTCTAATTTTTCAAGAAAGATTTCCATTACTCCATTTGTAGATCTATAAACCGTAATAACTATTAAGTCTAAGAATTTAACGTATATACCACAGAACTCAGCATGTATTTCCACGCAAAACTCATTTAAGTCCAATTGACAAAAGGATATATGTTTTTTAATATAAATAGCCACACCTCCGTGGATGAATGAACATCTACAAAAGAAATTAGTTAGAATATATTTTTCCAAATTTATACCGATAAGATCTTCACTCTTGAGCCAGTGTTCAGATAAACAAAGTATATCGTAATCATCTTTGTCCAAGAACAATAATAGTTGATTCACCTTGTTCCTTAAGCACTGCATGTTTAAGTGGAATATCGAGAAATTCACAGCCGTGGAAAGTGCAGTGCTTTTTACCGGAGTTTCCACTAATTTGATGTTGTGCGATGTTACATGTTCTGCCTTTTCAGCCCACGTCAATGTTTCCTGTGTTGGTGCTACTCGTTCTCTTGAGGTGTTCGGTACTTTTGAAAAAACCTCGTAACCAAAATACCATTTGGCCAGGTAAGGGGTTTTAAAGCGGTCGATGTATTATGTTGGTAGATAGTAACTTTGAAAGATGAGTAACAACTAGGATACTTGGATCTTAATTTTTCACAAGTGACTTCTGGGAAATCTTTTTCTAGATACTTGATCAAATCTTCGCAAGTAGTCACTGGGTCGAGTCTAGATACAAAAAGGGACGATGATTTTGGTACAGACTTTATTCCCGTCAATGATGGTTCTACTGATTTCCCAATTACAGGAGGTTTTCTTTTTTTGTTCTTTTTGTTCTCAGACACACTCCAATTTTCTGTAATGTTCTGCCGGGTATTTTCTTGGTCTTTGGTTTCTCTGCTATTTTCAGCCTCTTTACGTGTTTCATGTATAATTTCCACATTTTGATGGGTCAATGTACTTTGCTGCTTTTTATTTCTCGTATCGGTTGTTTTGTCAGCTGGTTTATCGGAGGTCACCAAGCCGTCTATTTTTTTAGGGTTTGCTTGTGTCTGCAACTTCTTTTCTTTTTTGGTGTCCTCTATCGGTTCAGGGTCTTTCCCATTTAATAACGATTCGATAAGTTTCCTTTGGAAAATAATTGTCTCACGAAGATCTTGAATAATACAATCTTTTCCTTTGATGATATAGGAGAAATATCTTGCATCCATTTCTGTACCAGGGAGATTCTCAATAGCGTCCAGGAACACCGCATCTTCGTTCGTTTCCTGTTTTTCACAACATTCAAAATGTTTATCGTCGAAACATTTTGCCACTATTTCTCCACAGCTGGGGTGGTATTTGCCCCCACAATTTACACATGTAGCCGCATCTACAACTGGTTTTTTACACTTTTTGCACTCAGCAGAGGAGGCAGCGCTTGCCCGCCATGTTATAATAAATAATCATAATAACAGTAATACATTGCCCGCTTGTGGTCGAAAAACGCGTCTGCTTTTAATTAAATAGGTTCGTACTGAACAAAATACTTCAATTCGAATTTTTTTAAAAAGAGATATTCTTGGAGGAGAATCAAGGGCAACCAAGTCAGAGATAATGCCAGGAGTGAATACATTCTGATATAGTGTGTTACTAGAAAGAATTCCGTTTAAAACTGAGTAAATTAACGGAAACTTAGCTTCGTATTGAACGACTATTTGATCACATAGATCGTTAAGGTAGTTCTGATTAACAATCAATCGATACAAATGATCCTTTT